GCTCACTGGCTGAGCGTGGTGCTGACAACACCAAGTCAAGGGTTGGGATCCCCTTACCGGTAATCTTTAAAAAAAAAAAAAAATGAGTAATATAAGTTCACTGAAGGGGATAGGGAAGAAAAATAACTGGCAACAGAGTCCTAACTAGGTATTGTATTATAAGGCTAAAAACAAAAAGGACTGTGCATAAACACTATCATCTAGTCAGTAAGTGTTTCTCACAGGGATATGGGCAAGCAATTCTGAAATTGCTTTATGCATACACTAGGATTGAATAAGTTATTATATTGTAGGTAGTAAGTCAGGTTTCTCAGTGTTGGGGAAAGAAGTTACAAATAAGGAAAAGGAAGGCTAAAATAAACCCTTGGTGTTGGACTGAAATCAGAGGTATCAGTAAAATCTCACAGTATTTAATATATATTAAATATATAGAGATACACAAATCTACCTATACAGATAGATGAATGCAGAAATATGTGAATATGCGTGAAATGTGTGAATATGCGTGTTAGTATAAGTGCATGTGTTGCCTTGATCTGTTAAGAGGACTTAGAAACGATGACATCCCAGTAGCAATGAGCACACCTAGCGCTCAGATCTTGGTTTCTAAATACCCATTCTCCAGTAAAACAAACTAGGACTATTGGAGAATAGTTGATTCCAGATATGGGACAGGAAATATACAAGATGAAACTGGAATGATTTATGGTGTTGGAAAGCAAGGAAGTACTCAAAAATGATAGGGGCTTGTTGAAAGAATACAGAAGACAATCTGAAGGAATTCCAAGAGACCAAATATGGGACAATATGTAACAATAATAAATAAATAACAATAGTATTGGACTTTCACTCACAGAATAAAATAAATATCCATGACTCCATGATATAAATAAATAACTGAAAAAGTAAATAAATGAAGCAAGGAAGGAAGGTCTTCCTTATAATAAAATTTCAATTAGATGGAAAGAGGGAATTAGAAAATTAGAAAATCACGGGCCGGCCCATGGCTCACTCGGGAGAATGCGGTGCTGATAACACCAAGGCTATGGGTTTGCATCCTATATAGGGATGGCCGGTTGGCTCACTAGTGTGGTGCTGACAACACCAAGTCAAGGGTTAAGATCCCCTTACGGGTCATCTTTATATAGGAATAAAAAATTAAAAAAAAAAAAAAGAAAATTAGAAAATCACAATTAGGGGCCAGCCTGTGGCTCACTCCGGAGAGTGTGGTGCTGATAACACCAAAGCCACGGGTTCAGATCCCATATAGGGATGGCCGGTTCGCTCACTGGCTGAGTGTGGTGCTGACAACACCAAGTCAAGGGTTAAGATCCCCTTACCGGTCATCTTTTAAAAAAAAAAAAATAGAAAATCACAATTAGGCAAACACCACACTAATGACTATTACGGACAAAATCTACTGATGGATGCTAAAATTAGTGGATGAACATTTGAGGAGAAACAGGAATTGCATAGTCTTGAGCAATCTCCCCCCAAGATATTTATTAACTATAAAGGAGAGAATAATTACTTTATAACGGAAAAACCCAGCAGGCACCTCCTTAACCAAACACTCAAGGTCAACATCACCAGAAACAGCAATAAGACATATCAACATCATGAGCCCTCTGATATGATACACTAAGGACACAACGTCAGATCTACGACAGTCTTGCCAAAAACACATAATTTAATTCCAGTCATGAGAAATCATCACACAAACCTAAAATGAGGGATATCCTACAAAATAACTGATCAGTACTCAAAAACACCAAGATCCTGCAAATAAGCAGACTGATACACGACAGATTGGAGGGTACCAAGAAGACACAACAAACCAAACACAACATGAGATCCTGGATTGGATCCTGGAACAGAAAAATAGACATCAGTGAAAAAAATGGTGAAATTCGAACCGTTTCCAGGCCCATAAACCATCAACCAGGACCTGTAGTTTAGTGAACAGTGTTGTACCATTGTTGATTTCCTGGTTTTAGTAATTGTACTGTGTTACCTAAGATGTTAACATCAGGAGAAACTGAGTGAGGGGGAGATGGGAGCTCTCCTGTAATAGTTTTGGAATTTTTCTGTTAAATCTAAAATTAGTATAAAATTTTAAATTTTAAAACAAAGATCGTGGGCTCTTGAGCTAACCTTCCTACATTCAAATTCCAGACCTTGTGACCTGGGCTCAGACTTTTCCTCTGTGAGCCTGTTTACTCTTGTAAAATGGCAGTAATGATCGTACCAACAGTTCGAGGTCAATGTGGAGGTTAAGTGAGTTCTCCATATGAAGCGTTCAGTGAGAGTATATTTGCTATTATTATTGTGTAGGACACAAAAGGGCAGCTGTGATCTCACTGCGTTTTCACGACAGCACCAAGAGATGGATTTTATTGTCTTTCCCATTTTACAGGGGCCTCCAGGCAAAGTGCCTTGTCCAAGGCCAACCTGGTTATGCGTGTGGTTTCTGATTCCACGCTGCAACTGACCTTTAAGAAATTGTCTTCTCTAAAAGTGTCAGGAACATGAAAAACAAGGACAGATAAATAAAGACTGAGGAACTGTCACAGACAGAAGAGACTAGAAACTAAATGCGATGTGGAATTCTGGATTAGAATAAAGACATTAGTGGAAAAGTTGGTGAGATCTGAAGTTTAGTTAATAATATGTTATTAATGTTAATTTCTTAGCTTTGACAATGGTAACATGGCTATGTAAGAGATTACCATTAGGGGAAACTGGGTGAAGGGTATACAGAAACTTTGTACTATCTTTGGAACTCTTCTGTAAGCCTACAATTATTTCAAAATAAGAAGCTTAAAAATTAAAAAAAAAAATCTGTGTTAAGTTTTGGTGTAGTGTCAAAGCAATTATTTCAAAATAAGAAGCTTAAAAATTAAAAAAAAAAATCTGTGTTAAGTTTTGGTGTGGTGTCAAAGAATAGCCACAATTATCTGAAGCTCCTATTAAAATTTTTCTCACGCTGGCTGGTTAGTTCAGTTGGTTAGAGCACTACCTTATAACACCACGGTCACAGCCAGCCACCCAGAAAAGAGGAAAAAATCTTCCTCACTATTCTGACCATGTGTCTGTGTGAGACCAGATTTTCTTCATATAGATCATATAAATCATATAAATTGTTCAAAGCAACATATCACAAAATATCACAACAGATGAAACAGATCTGAGGAGAATCCAGTTGTGATCTATTAAGCCAGACATTAAAGAGATTAAAAAGATGTAAATCAATGCCACGTTCCTCATTAAATTTCTTTTTTTTGTAAAATATAGTTATTTTCGTGAAAATGTCATTTACATCAATACTCATAGAGAAGGGGCTTGTTATTGTTCATTTTAAATGACTTCATATTTTCAATGTCTCAGTTTTAATTTCCAATATGGCAAATATTGGTAGATGTAACTCACATAAACTAAAGCTCTTTGAGGTTCTCGATAGTTCTGAGCAGTGTAAAGGGGTCGTGAGACAAAAGCTCTCCACGCTGCTCCACGCCGAGCTCAGTGCTGTCACTTCACAGGTAGTTACTCATTTACTCCTCACTGTGAGATTGCAGTAATATTACCCCATTGTCCAGATGAGGAGGCCGAAGCCACCGAGGTAAAGGCACTTGCCCAAGGTCACACTGCAGATAAGTAGCAAAGCTGGGATCCAAATCCAGTTAGTATGGTTGCAGAGGGTCCAGAGTCCAAGCTCTTACCCTCACAGTGCACCACAACTCTTTTTTTTTTTTTTCCTTTTTGTCTTTTTTCGTGTCCGGCAACGGATCGCAACCCTCAGTGTCGCGCCCGTACCGGACCGGGACCAGCAACAGGATCACAACCCTCGGTGTTGGGCCCGCACCTCACTCAGCCAGTGAGCGGGAACCGGTCTGTATGTGGGATCCAAACCCTCGGCGGGAGCGCCACCGCGCTCCCAAGCGGTGCACTGTAGCAGTGCGCCACCGGGCCGGCCCAGTGCACCACAACTCTTGATCAAGGATCAGGAGGCAGCTTTGTGGGGAAGAGAGGGGAGGGATGGAGAAAGAGCTGGGCAACCTAGTTCTGTAATATTCATGCACTGATCTCTTCTACAGCTGATTGTAGGGCCTACCCTGCACTAACATGTCAGGTTCTAGAGATAGGACAGTGACACAAAGAGCAAGGCCAACAGCAGCCCCCTTTGAAATGCAGGAGAGCACTCACTGTGGGCTGGACACCATAATCATTTCCCACGCAACCAGGTGCACCACTGCTTATAATCCCCATTTCATAGAGGCGGACAACTGAGTCTCAGGAAAAACAAGCACAAGCCAGGGGTTCCACAGCAATCAAGGTGGGATTCCTGAGCCCTCCAACCAATGAAGCACCATTAGTCCTCTCTGGGAGAGGCATAGGGAGGGGTTATGAACACTTACCTGGGTAGGACAGGTGGACATGCTCTGGGGCAGCGCTGGGAGCCCCTAGGGCCTCGTGGACTCCCAAGGAGAAAAGGAGGAGCAGACAGCAGGACGACCAGCAGCAATAAAGGGATCGCATGTTAAGGGGATGATGGGGGCAGAGAGGGGAAGAGGCAGGGTGTGGAGTAGATCAGATTCCCTCAGGATGGAGGAAGATCAGGCAGTGCCGTGGGGGAGGGAGGTCTTCGAGGGGGGTGGTTATCCAGATGCTGGAGAGAGAGAACAAAAATAATGTTTGCTATGGAGAGGCAAACGCTCTCTGAACCTCACTGTATGCTAAGCACGTTGCATAGATTAACTCATGGGAGCCTCACAACATTGCTATGAGGTGGCGACTACTATGATCACCATCCTCATATCACAGATGAGGAAACTGAGCAACCACGTGAGTCAATTGCACAGCAAGGATGTGATGGAGCCAGGACTTGAACACAGGCGGGCCTGGCTTCAGAGCCTGGCGGTTAACCAGAGCTCACTCTCAATGAAAGAGGTTTGGCCGTGGGGAGGGGGTGCTCAGTGTAGGTACTTGCCTGTGGCAGCCCCATCCCCAGCCTTCCATCCTGCTTTGAGCAACCCCAATTTCTTCTACCTTATTCCCCAGATTCCTAGCATCCCATCCTGTCCTCAGGGACCTCACCACTCTCTACTCCGTCCTCAGCCTTCCATTTTGGTCTTAGTTTCCCCAATCCCTCCACTCCATCCCCAGATTCCTCAGAGTCCATCCTGCTGGGAGCGGACGCATTGCCTCTCCCTCCTCCCCGGCGTCCCATCCTGCCTTTACTGTCCCTGTCCCGCCCCCCGGCCCTCTCCACCTGCGCTCTAGCCGTCTCCCTCAGCCCAGCACTGCATACCCACCCCCCATCGCCTCGGCCCTTCTCCGCCTGCTCCAGCTGCCTGATCCCATTTAAGAGAGTTGTGCCCTTGTGATCTAATCACCTCCCTATGGCCCCATCTCTTAATACCAACACCTTGGGGGTTAGGATTTCAACATATGAATTTTGGGTGAACACAAACTTTCAGACCATGTGGTAAGCAATAGTCTGAGACCTTGTGATCCATTTATCTCCACACCCTCTCTCAAAGAGTCTACGAGCTTTAAAAAGACCTAGACTTTTTAAGAGGTAACACAATTCTCATCAGGAATTCTTAATTGCTGTTGAAAGAAGTAAAAGGGGAAAAAGGAAAGGAGGAAAGTTAGTTGGATGATTAGATGATGATCAGATGTCTGTTAGAAGACAGGTTGGGGCTGGCAGCCTGCGTGTGCATCTCCGGCCACCAGCGCCGCCGCGGTATTTATGAGTTTGCAGGCACCGAGGCTCCTCGCCGCCCACAGCCGTCCCAGCCCCGGAAGAGCCGGACGCCTCGGAGTGACGGGCTCCCCAGACAACCGGGGCCCCGGGTCCCACAGGTCCGGCCGGTCCCGGGCGCCCCACGCCCACCCGGGGGCGGGGTGCAGGAAGGGGGACCCAGGAAGGCTTGGTACGCGGCCGCCGCCACCTCCAAGCCGGCCACCAGGTGAGCGCCCGGACAGGTAAGGCCGCGCTCGTCCCCCAGGCGCCCCACCTCCCAGCTGCGGAGCCCCCAGGGCACGGGCGCAGGCTCCCACCCCTGGCCCTGCCCTGTCCCCCGGGTTCCCAGGTGTGCGTCCCTGGGAGAGCCCCATCTTTTCCCGCTGCGCCGCATTATCTTCGTCGCAATTCCTTCCGGCTTCCTCCCTCTCCTTCTTACCCCACTGATCCTCCTCTGCACTCACCCCCACCCCCGCTAAGGCCTCCTGAAAACACGAAATTAAAACCCGCAAAAGACAGTGCGGCTTCTGAGCTGCGCGCCCTAGGCGGGTTACTCAACCTCGCTGGTCCTCGGGTTTTCTCACTCGTAAAAGGGAGGTGATGATAGTACCCACAGCATGAGTTGTGAGGATTAAACGAATTCAGGCGTGGAATTTCATGCTGAGATCAGGGCCTGGCTCAGAGTAAGGGCTGGATAAGAATCAGCAGTTATTTTTATTGTTATTAGTGCACGAACTCCAGAAACTGCCCCGGGGCCTAGGTGGAAAGAGGTAGGAATTTTCCCTGTAAGCCTCTGCGGGCTGTTTGAACGTTGGGAGTGGCTTGTCACAAAATATGCTTGGGGGTCCCCTGGGAGGGAGCAACAGGAAAGATCTGGGGATCTGGATTTTCAGTTGTCCCCCTTCCTGTCTGCAGATATAAAGACCCCACGACTGGCTTTATAAATTCAGAGTATATGGTTTTCTGCATGTTGGGGACAACGATTTCGAAGATTGGCACTGGGGGTGGGGTAGATTCAAGAGGAGCCTCTTTCGCTGTTTGGATTTTCCCCCCACCTTCCAGAGTCTCCATGACAGCTTAAAGATAAAAAGCAACTCTCTTAGCTAAACTCAAGTACCTCTAACCCACCACTCCTGTGGCATCAATTATAACCTCCCCTTATTTTCAGTTTTTTCTGGTGTTCTTCCAGAATTGGAGGTTTTTTAACCTTTTTTGTGCTAAAGGTGTCTATGGCAGGCTGGTGAAGTCTTTCTCAGGATCATGTTTTCACATGCAAACGATAAATACACAGAATACAAAAGACACCCCCCAATGCTACTGAATTACAGATATACAAAAAAAATTTTTTTTTAAATGACCGGTAAGGGGATCTTAACCCTTGACTTGGTGTCGTCAGCACCACGCTCACCCAGTGAGCTAACCGGCCATCCCTATATGGGATCCGAACCCGTGGCCTTGGTGTTATCAGCACCGCACTCTCCCGAGTGAGCCACGGGCCGCCCCGGGATATACAAATATTTTTAAAACAAGTATGTGATATAGTAATGTACTTCATTATAGCATTAAACTTTAATATGTAGTGGCAAGTCCAAAAAATAAGGTAATTTAGAAGTTTTCATGAGTGTATAGAGGGTAAGATGTTGGAGATTCCTATAATGACCGTAATGGGATTTGAAAACGTCTGTTTTTCTTCTCATGACAAAGTCACACGTCTGCTAATAGTCCCGTGGTCTGTTGCCCTCCTCATGACAGAAAGATGTGCTAAATTTTAATTATAGCAGCAGTTCTCAAACTTTCCCCTCTTAAAAATTATTGAGCTTTTTTAAATATGTGGGTTATATCTATTAATATTTACGACGTAAGAAAGTAAAACTGAGGAGTTTTTGCAACACAAGAATACATACATACATTCCACTGGTCAGGTAGCCTTTGGAGAGGGAAAAGGACAAACACGTCTTAGTATTACTATGAAAATAGCTTTGACCTCATTAACCCCCCCAAAAAAGTCTTGGGGACCCACAGGTGTCCACACACCACATTTTGAGAACTGCTGAGTTAAAGGATAGTGAAGGCAAAGAGGTCATTTTAATTTTCCCGATTCAAGTTCATGGAGCCCCTGAATTCCATCCTCCTGTTAAAAAGCCCCACTGGAATCTGTTGGACCCTGAAGTGGTGGATGAGGGTCATAGCTTGCAGGGATATAATCTTATGGTGGTGAACAGAGGATCTACTCTGGGGCCAGATCACCTGTATTTAAATCTCGCTTGTGCATTGGCTAGTTTAGGCAAGCGATTTAGTCTCACTGTGCCTCAGTTTTCCCATCTGTGAAATGGGGTCAAAAATAGTAACTGCCTCATAGGGTTGTGAAGATTAAATGAGGTCATAGATATAACCCACTTAGAACAGTGCCTAGCACAGAGCAAGTGCCCCACACATTCTTTCTAATTATTATTGTACCCAAGACATCTAGTCTGCCCAGTTTCTAAGATAAGGCTATAATGAGCCTGCTTTTCTAAATCATTTGAAAATGACTTAAACCTTTTTATTATGAAATAAGACATACATACAGAAAAGTACATGAAATATAAATCTTCCACTTAATGAACACGACAAAATGAACACACCTGTGTAACCACCAGGTGTGGGGGTCAGAGAGTAGAGAGTGGTGAGGTCCCTGCCCCAGGTGAAGAAATAAAATCTTACCAGCTTCCCCCAGTCCCTTTCCTGCCTCCCCCCAGGCGCTGCTTTCTCCCTCCCCGTGAGGGTATCCACTTTGCTGACTTTTACCTGTCTTTGGTTTAACCACACACGGTTGTTTCATTTTGCCTATTTTTGCACACAGCATAAATAGAAATATACAATACGAACTCTTGTGTCTGACTTCTTTCTCTCAACATTGTGATTGTGAAATTCATCCGGGTTGGGCGTATAAATGCAATCCATTCCTTCTCATGTCCAGGTAGTATTCCATTGTGTGAACACACCACAGTTTTTATCTACCAACTGTCAATAGAAATATGAGTTGTTTCCTTTTTTTCTTGGCTCCTGCAAATAATGCTGCTCCCAATATCCTAGTACATATTTTGCTGGTGAACATATGTACCCATTTCTCTTGGATATAAACCCAGGAGTAGAATGGCTGGGCCATAGGGTATAAGTTTATTTATCTTCAGTGGATACTGCCAAAGAGTTTTCCAAAGTGGTTGTAATAATTATTTCTTCTCCCACCAGCCACATTGGAGCATTTCCTTTCCTCCACGTCCTCACCCTCACTTGACATTGGCAGGCATTTTATTTTTATTCATTCTGATGGGTGTGTAGGGGTAGCTCATTGTAGTTTTAATTTGCATTTTCCTGATGAGTAATAAAATTAAACATTTCATTTGCATATTGGCATTTTGAGTATCCTTTTTTGTGATCTTGTTCAAGTGTCTTGCCTGATTTTCTATTGGGTTGTCCATTTCCAAATGGATTTGCTCTTTTATATAATCTGAATATGGGCCATTTGGCAGTTGTATGTAAACACCTTCTCCTACTCTGTGGCTTGTCTTTTTACTCTCTTAATGGCGCTTTTTTTTTTTTCCCTACACATGACCAGTAAGGGGATCTTAACCCTTGACTTGGTGTTGTCAGCACCACGCTCTCGCAAGT